AGGTCTTAATTCACTTGAGTTATTATGCTTCCCAGCTCCAATTCTCACCATGTTGGATCAACGGAATTCATCTTCCAACGCCAATTACACGCAATTGTATAGTATTTCGGTAAGGAATCTTGGATCAAACAAGCTTTCAAAGTAAATCTTTCTCCATTCTTAGTCGTCGAAAGAATAGCGGTGTTTGAAAAATCGAACCGGCCTTGAAATCTTGCCAAATGGCCGATTCCGAGTTACCGGTAAACTGACAGGTTCAACCGGCTTAACCGGGCAAAGGTCCCAGCCGGTCCAAAAAGTGGTAAAAAAATAAAACAAATACTGTATATCTGCTTCTTTGGGTAGACGACCTACTAAGGAGATTTTTTGATCTCATAATTTAGGAACCACTTAACAATCACTAGATAATTATTTTCAAAAGAGGATTTGAAATTCAAGTTTTCTTACACTTAGATTTGATCCTCACAGTCTCCTATTTTGAGACATCGATTTTTTCAAGAGATTGAAATTTATAAATTTTTTAATTGCTGTTAGTCGATTGTTTGAAGAGATTACATCTATAAAATTTTAAATCCTAAAATTACGTTTAAATAGGATTTTATTTGAGTGAGTAAACAGATAATATGCTCCAAGAGCATAAAATCTTGTGGCTAAGAAGAAAAAGAAAGGCTCTTGTCAAAAGAAAAAAAAAAAAAAAAAAAAAAAAAAAAAAAGGACCCTGATCAAAGGGCCGCAAACGGGCCCAACACGCTGACGTCTTAATTCACATCAGCCCAAAACTTAAGCATCGAGCTTAGAAAGGACCCATGGGTCAACAGATAACCTACTAGTGATGCCAGATATTGTTTATAGTATGTATGTAGGTTTAGTAACGGGTTTGGTGGGGTCCAACTCACTTGGATTTGGACCTGATTCGGGCCCAGGTCTAGAAATTTGAAAAACTAAAAAATATTTTATATATTGTAGTATATATAGTTTATATGTTTTATGCTGGGTTGGGTTGAACCTGGCCCGGATCCGACTTGACCGGTAAGGTCTATGTCGGAGCTAGAACCAATCCCAGACCCAACCAGAGTTGGGTCCAAGTCATTTGGAACCGTACTTGTTCGGTTAGTTCTAAAATGTGGTTGCATAAATGACCTACTGGGTTGGGTTGAGCCGGCCTAATTGCCAGTATATGTTACTAATATGGGTAGGGTATCCTTCCTAGCTGTTATGCCAAAAAGAAGAAAAAAAAAAGAGAAAAAAAATAAAAATATGTATTACTCATTACAGTATATTATTTATACCGGTTAATAAACAACATGCTCATAAAATGAGTATGAGACTATTTGACCTTTTTGAGGCTTATGTATACTAACTTAACCAGCAAAACTTATTCAACCCAAACGCGACTCGATAAGAATTTAGCCGTTAAGTTTGATCCAAGTCATGTCCCATCCGACGACAACCTGACCGGTTAAAATCGTAACCCATTTGCCAGCGGCACTTGCTTGGTTTGTTTTCTTGTTTTAAAAAAACTTATGCAAGGATCGGGAAAAAGATGCGGTATTACTACATGGTTCAAATTTTTACATTGAGGTCCAACTATTTTTTAGAAATTTTCTATTTCCATTTTGTCCTTGGTTTGAAACTGAGACTTTCACATGTAAAATTTGACCTGTTTGGGTGGTCTTTAACAACCTAAAACATATGAAAAAGACTACATAATGAACGGGTCAAAAGTCCAATACATCAAGCTTATGGTATTTTAGGTAGTTTAAAATGAACTTTTAAACCACCCAAATATATCAATTTTTCATGTTTTGGTTGGTTCCAATGTTAAAAATAAAACTCAAAGAAAGAGACGTCAACATAAATTTGGCTTGATCCAGACCAAGCCGTAATATAGCATCTTTTCCTCAATTTTTGTTTGTTTGTTTATGTTTTGGGTGGATCAGTGGGGATATCGAGCCCCTATCTATTTTATTAAGAAACTAAAATATGTTACGTGAACATATTTTGTACAATCTTTGCCAAGGGGACATTAACAACAACAGATAAAATGAAAGGCATTACAAATTCTGGGAGACGAGCACGCCATACTGTTGCTTCATTCATAGAAACCGTTGCTTTGGCCAGAGAGTCTCCCTATAAGCATGTTGAATGTTCTATTGTTGATCCGCAAAAAATGTAAGCTTGGATTTACAATTTCATACATAAAGTTCTCTATATGAAAATGGACCGATCACTCATAAGATCAGCTTGTGCACCAAGAGACAAGCTTCCATCTAGTTTGTACTTTATGTCATTTTTTTTCTTTTAACGGGCATACTGAATTCATTTTGAAAAAGCTTTCTATGTTCTCTCTACAACATAAAAGTTCTATCCTCCCCTTATTATCCAGCTGTCCATTTTTTATCAAGAGAGCCACTCACCTTTTGATTATAGATCCGACATCTTAAAGTACATTATTTTTAGCTTTTTTAATACATTTTTTCTGAATATGAAATTTGGCATGTGCCATCTTCTCATTGGGACGCACTTATAAAAAATATTAACATAGTTTTTTGATAAAAATAATGATCAGAATACCCCTTGAAATTTTCAGGGGTATTTTGATCATTTTATTTTATTGAAAATATTTTTTTTTATATTTTTCATTACTGCGAGTTTAATGGAGGAATGGACATCTAAAATTTGGTGTAAAAAAAGTTTATAAAAAAAATTAAAAATAAAATAGTATAGAGATGTGATATTGTAATTGGGGCAATCTTAGCCCTCCATTAAAAAAAAGATAGTTGGATAAGAGGGAGAATAGAACTTTTAATTGAAGTTTTCTTTTTCTTTTTGAGTATGTGGGGAGAGGGCCCTACCTTTGATAGAAATTGAGCCTAGGACGCAGTATTCAAGTGCAAACCAATTATGCCCGAGCTCGTTTCCTAACCTTTTAATTGAAGTTTGTGCTGAATACAAACCAAACTAGCCCATTCCTTTTTCTAAGTGCTACTTTATTTCATTTGACTAAAAGGGGGTAAATTTCAGCTTGATTTGGTGCAATGATAACACCTTTTGAAAATATTTTTCTTTGGTAGGTTAAAAGGTGTAGGCAGCCCTCCAAGTTGAACCCTCTATCAACAATCATGAAAATAAGCACTTTTAGTTATTGGTAGAACCCCCCAATTAGGAACAATCATGAAAATAAGCACTTTTAGTTATTGGTAGAACCCCCCAATTAGCAGTATTTTTTTTCTGGAAAATTTATTAGAATATCCATTTTTCAACAATTTAACAAATTACTTTTTTTTTTAATTGTTCCAAATCATAGTCATGTTTATTTTGATGGATAAATTAAAAATAGTTGAGATCTTATATATATTTTGACAAGTTTCCTTTCTTTTTTTTTTTCTTCTTTTAAAAGTTAACAACAGCTACAAACAAGGAGGCTCCAACCCAATTCATTTATAGAAGGGGTTCATGTAATGGATGAGGTTTGTATAAAGTGCTGGCCTTATGCTGTACTAACCTTATACCATAGAAGTAGGGTGTTGTTTCTATAAGGTTTCAACCTTAAACAATCAATTAAGGTGCACTTCCAAATTTTATCATAATATATAATTTTGGTGTAAAAACTTATTAGAATTATCTGAAAATCTATTTTCATATCTATTTATAAAATTTTAAAGTCCAAAAAATGTCCAAAATCAAGTGGATCTATAAACATATGAAAAGCTTGAAAATAGAGGATCTATATAATGTGGTGCAAT